CACGTGTGCGGCCGGCGGGCGGGCGGGCGCGGAGGGAAGGCGGCCCCGCGCCGCGCGTTTAAATGTCCCGCTCGGCGCGGGCTGCGCTGTGCGCAGCCACGGGAGCGGCCGCGCCGTGAGGCAGGAGGCGCCCACTGGAGCCCGCCCTGCCCCGCACCCGCGCCGCCGCGGGCAGCAGCAGCGCTCGCCGCCTCCGCTCCCCGCGAAGGCGCCGGGCTCGGCTAAGCGGCGGGCGGTAAGTGAGCGGGGCGGCGGTGCCCGGGCCTCGCAGCGGCCCTTTGTGGCGGCGGCCTTGCTGCTCCCGCCCGGCCCGGCCCGGCGGCACCATGCGCCGCGAGAGGTGAGTGCGGCGGCGGGAGCGCTGCCGCCGCCGCCTAGGCCCGGCCGGGCACCCTCGGGCACCGCGCCCGGCCGCCGCCTCCATCTCCTCTCTCTCGACAGCGACCAGCCTGAGGAGCCGGCGCCCGCCCGCGCCGAGGGCGGCGGAGCCATGCGCGCCCGCAAGAGGAAAGCCGATGTGGCCACGGTGAGTGCGGCCGCCCTGCCTGGGCCCGGCCCGGCCTCGCCGCCTTTGTGGGGCGCCCGGGGCCATGCGGCAGCTCGGGTGGCCAGCGCGGGACTGTCATGGGTGGCCTCTACCCATCATCCATACCCCAGACCCAAAGTTATCTATGTCTTTCTACAGTTCTTGCAGGATCCGGATGAAGAAGTTGCTGAAATAGAAATGAACAGGAAAAAGCAGTATGAAAGCCAGGTAACAGCTTTGCCTCTAGGTCATGCCAATATATAGCCTAATGGAAATTTATTATTGTTCTACAGGACATCATTACTGCTCTGAGCACAGTAAGGCTCATGCGCAAATACCATGTGCTCTGTGGCAGTGGTTGAGGGCACTGTCAAGCGTGGATGATGGAAAGCACAAAGCTCCCCTGTTGCTACAGCTTGGTTCCAAGACCTTGCAGCAGACAAGGCCTGTATTGGTCTTAAAACATATTGATGTTTCTGCATATCCAGCTATCCTTGGATTGCAAGAGTTCAGCTTGCAAAGGCCTTAATATGTATGTAGTTTTACACTGAGAGGACCTGTATTGACCTCTCTAGAGACCTGGAAAGTACAGCAATTAGCTTATATGCTGTATTTTGTAGGCCATAGCATGAGACACTTAGGCATGTGACCAGAATTGCCTCTTGAGATGGACCTTTTTGCATCCACGCCTATGTATAAGTTGAGACAGAGGAAGGAGGAATCTTTCCTTTCACTGTCAGGGGATTCCCACTCTCTATTATTACTGCTGGCCTGCACAAAACCAAGAGGTTACTGATTAGAAGTTACCAGTTTATAATACTACATGCTAGTGCTGTGGTGAAATGTTATACTTAATCCCCCAAAAGAACAGAGAGAACTTCTGCTTAGGCTGTGGGAATTGGGCCAGTCAGTGGAGACTGTTATTGGCCACCAGTAGTCTCCTAAGTGAGATACTGAGAATGACCTGAGTTATGATGTCAAAACTAACTTTCATCTTGGTGTCCTCTTTGTAGTCTTCAGACATCACGTGCTATTGGTTATTGCATGATACTCTTGCACATTGAGGTACCTAATTGAAATAAAACAACAAGGTTAGCCTACTCCCAAAAATAGGTTTATTACCTTTCTCGGAATTTGAAGAAAGTCTGTGTGCTTTTGTGCACAAATGCATGCTCTGCCTGTAGGACTTCAGACCGTTAATGCACATGCGGGGTGATACTAAAACTGCAGAAGTCATGATTGGGGAATACAGGCAGGACTCATTTGGTGTGCAAGGCTATGCATAATGTGGCACATCTAACCAGAAGTGGCAGCTGGAAGTTCTAAGACTAAAGTGCTACCATAACAGATGGGCATCATTGTTTGGAATGGCCTCTGCTTGTTGCAACTGCGTATACTAGTTATCAGTCAACATATTAAGCAGGGCTCAAATGGTGAGCATTTAATGAGGAGATCTCTCCTTCCCTTCTGGCTTTCTTTTGTGCAGTATATTAAACTAATTTCTCACTTCTGACAAGGAAGAGCTGCCTGTCCTTCACCACAGTTCTCTCCTTCACCAAAGGGTTCATTCTGCTTGAGCTAAATAATGTCTTTTTGCATGCAGTTACTGCATAGTAAGTACTGTTAAATCCAAACATGGACCTAGTTTACCCTCCTTCAGGAAGACAGTGGAAAGAAACCTGAAATATATTTTACACATAGTGACCTTCAGCACTGACAATAGTAAAGACTTCCAGTTCTGACTGTGTTTTGTGTTACTGGCTTAACAGCCATTAAATGTTACTTCCTAAAGGATGGACATATTAAAATTTAGATAATCTAGTCAGTAGGCATTTCAAAATACAGATTTAGGAGTTTATCAAGTTAAGCTTAGAATACTCGCCCTTGGATTCTGTAAGTGATAAATAAAAGGAGCACCTTTGTATCAGTCCATACATGGAGAAGATTTTTTGTCATAACAAAGTAGCCAGATTGTTACAGATCTGTTTAAAAAAGCTAACATTTGGCCGCACAGCAGCAGCTCTTCAGTCGATGGTGTGACACAAGCTATTCTCTGATATAAATTGCCACGGGCCACTAATGAGAATATGTTTATGGTTCCAGCAGCAGTATAGCAAGCTTGTATGATAGCCAGTGAGATAGTTATGCTGTTGTGGCACACTAATTCTAAAATGCAAGTAGCTATAAATCCAATGCAGCCTATACCACGTGACTTCTACATTAAATAAATTGTTTACTGATGCTAGTTTATACATGAGGCAAAATACCGTAGTCTCATCCCACTTTATAGCATCTTCATACTCAATTCATTAGTTTGCTTCTGCTGAACATAAGGCATGAGTTCTTAATTAGGGTGCCGTTGCCCTTTATGTGATGAAAGCATGGCTATATCATCAGGTTTGTGACAGCAGAATATTGCATAAATTCTGTGTTTGATTTTGGAGAACTGGCACTGTTGTAGTTCTGCTAGTGAATCTCATATTAATTCTGGCTGTGTTCTGTGGACTGATACACTTCCAAGGGTAAAATGTACCCTTGGAAAAACATTCTATGTAAAACAAAATTCATCTAAGATTACTGTAACCTAAATAATCTTGATACAGCTTATATGGTGTCCAAATCTAGAGTGTGGGTATTGAAACTTAAAATTATAAGAATTTTTAAGAAGAAGTTAATCTGCATTTTTCAGATTGAAGGGGTGAGGTGGGTGGGAGGGGGAAACAAACTTTCAGAAAAATCAGTAAAAATTATTTTCACTAGATGCTTCTCAAGAGCAGTCTTACCATTGTCAATGTGCAACCTAACCATTTTAAAGATATCATCTGAAAAGATGGCTTTACTAGTCTAGGTTGTGTTAGAAAGATTGTATTTCAGCTAGTCTAGGTTGTGTTTCAAGAAAAGGAAACACTTCAAGCAAGTGGATGATGTGAACCTTATAAAAGATGAGAATTTGCCTTTGCTCTAATGTGAGGAAGGACAACGTTAATTCAGAGATTTAAAACACCGCAAGCTTCTATGCTGCTTAAAATGAATTGGAATAACTTAGTTATGCATGTTCTTCTATATCCTATTTGGTAAGTCAAGATCCCTTTTCTGATGGGTGAAGAAATACTGTAATGCTTCCTGTGAGTGCGAAGCAGCCAGAATTGCTACTTCTGATGGGTAAACTAAGAAGACTGCAGTGTAACAGTTGATAGCAATGTCTTTTCTGAGATGGTGTTTTTTAGGGCAAGAGACACACACACCTTTTCTCCCACCTGCTCTTTGACTTTAGTTTCCATGCTGAAAATCATCCTTCCTCTTGCTTCCCTGAGCCCCTGCAAGCTGCTTCTGGTACTCCTGACTGGTGCCACGATGCCCTGGTGTCTCCGTAGCTTGCATTTTTGGTTTTAGCTGCTTTGGTGAAGCTCTAACTGTGTAAGAATAGCCTGAATGGCCCAAATCTGCTTGGCTTTGTATATGCTCGAAAGGTGTCTAAAAGATCCATTTAAGTGAATGCTTTATACATTTGTGAATGAGGGCAT